GTATCTCATAATTATGAGATAGCTAAGTCATAATTATGAGATAGTATCTCACAATAATGAGATAGCTAAGTCATAATTATGAGATAGTATCTCATAATTATGACTTAGCTATCTCATTATTATGAGATAGTATCTCATAATTATGAGATAGCATCTCATAATAATGCTTATGCATCTTAGTTAAACTTCATGTCTTTTACATTTTCTATTTATAAGTTAGAATCTGGTACTGATAGACTGAGTTCCCTCACTGAGGATTATATTTCTTAGACACTTGTTTTATTTTGTCTTTTAATTTTCAGTTCAGTTCAGTACCTTTTATTGTCCCACAAGGAGGGAAATTTGATTTGCAGCCAGGCATTTCCAACATACTACCACAACATATAATACATAGACATTCACTAGCAAGGACCACACCATGGTAAGAGTTTAAAATTTTATAGAAGGAAAGGGGTCGAAGGGTAGTGGGGATGAATGATGAGGCGTCTGGGGAGGTCTTGAGGAGAAGACTCAGAGTGGGGCATAGTCTCCAGGAAGGATGCTTTCCTGAGCCTGCTTTGGACCCCCCAGCTTCTGGAACCTGAAAAGGAATGGATTAGGAGGTAGTTTGAGGTAGGGATGGAGGAGAAAGAAAGAAGCAGAGATGGAGGGATGAAGGAATAAATGGACTAGGGAGGTATGAAGGGACGAGGGAGGGATGAAGGGACCAAGGGATGAGGGAAGGGTGAAGGGATGAAGGGATGAGGAAGGGATGAAGGGAGCGAAGAAGGTGACACAATGAGGCCTTACAGAGGGGTTTAAGTGGGGTGAAAGGGGAGGGTGGGTGTCGAGACAGCGAGCTAAGGGCAGACGCCAGGTGAGATGAGTTTAAATAGACGACGACTGATTGCTGCAGGTGAGAGGCGTGGTCCTGCTCCCGAACCTAAGTTAATGTCAACTTCATTTCACTAGCAAGGACCACACCATGGTAAGAGTTTAAAAATTTTATAGAAAGAAAGGGGTCGAAGGGTAGTGGGGATGAAGGAAGGGGTTGAAGGGTAGTGGAATGAATGATGAGGCGTCTGGGGAGGTACGTCGAAGGAGGCTTGAGGAGAAGACTCAGAGTGGGACGTAGTCTCCAGGAAGGATGCTTTCCTGAGCCTCTTTTGGACCGCCAAAAGTATCAGGGATGAGATGCCCAGAGTCCAGAGTGGGCATGATAAAGTTCGAGGGGATGATTGCGGATGTAAGTGCGGTATGCTTGGGACGACCAGCGACCTAGGATCTGAATAACGTGGTAGGGGATCCCTGAATAGGAAGCTGAAGAGGCAGCTCTTATGCGAAAGGAGTGGATGGAAAAAGGGCTGGAGAGATGCCTGATTTGCTCAGGACTTGATGGAAGTGTTTGGCGAACCAGAAACGGGTGGCCTGGCAGCCGGATTCTGTAATGAACAGAGGGTCGATAGGAGAAGCTTTAGTTCTAATGCGAGTTTGCACGTAATGGGCGAGAGGTTCGTAGGGACTGAGAAAGGAGCGGAGACAAAAGATGTGAATAGGAAAAGAAGTTCCGAGCTGGTCGGTTTTACTTTTTCTGAGGTTGTAAATCAGGGTGTCCTGACTGAGGAAAGAAATGTCTGAGAGACACGGGTGGATGGAAGGGTTGTGTTTGGAGGCAGAAGGGGCGAATTCGGAGCAGCGAAGGAAACCGAAGAAAGCCAACAGAAACATGCATTGTAGTGTAAGATCTACGAACGGAGACGTATGGCCGGAGTGCAGGGTGAGGTTGCAGCATGTGAGGAGATCGGTGGTGAGCGGAAGACGGTGTGGGAGTGAAGGGGGCTCCTGCTTTTTAAGTCCTTTAAGCAGCATGGCTACGTGGTTGTGGCTAAGGGCTGGACAGGAGTTGCCTGTGGCCAGCTTAAAGAAAAAATTGATACCTGAAAGGTAGGTTCGGATGGTGAAAATGCGAATTCAAAGAATGGAATGTGAATGGGTGATAAAATGACAGATGGACATGGTATGGAGAGTGGGAAAAGGTGAATTTTACATTATGTGGTATGATTTGAAGCTGAGCCAGCCTGTCAGATATGCCGAGAGGGTGCGAGGGGCGAGGCTGTTGAGGATGGCTTGTTGTGAAACGTGGGAGAGGCTGGCAAGCTGCGGAGTCAGTTGAAGATTGTGGCTGAAAACGGAGGGACCGGTGTCGGATGAGGGTCTGCTGTAGGCGCCAACGCCCTGAATTTCTGGAAGGAGAAACGAGAGAGCGCATCAGCAATGCGGTTATGATAGCCTGGAAAGTGAGCTGCCCTGAGCAGAAACTGATGTTGAGCTGAAACTAATGTAAGTCTGCGCATGAGTTGCATGATGGCTAAGGAATGAGAACGACCTTTGTTAATTATTTCGACTACAGCTGTGTTATCGGAATGGATGAGGATGGAGTGCTGGGACCATTCATGCCCCCGAAGGAGAGCTGCGATGACAATGGGATACAGCTCATACAAAGCAGAAGAGGGAGAGGCCGAATCTGGTTGCAGGGAGTGAACCTCCGGGGGCCAAGTGGAGGCAAACCATCTGCCTTTGTTAAAACTGCCGAACCCAATGGAGGGAGCGGCATCTATGTAGAGCTGATTGTCATCAGGATGGGAGATGAAATCATTGTAAAAGAAAGAGATGCCATTCCAGGAAGACAGAAAATAGTGCCAGACCTTCATTTCCATCCTGCAGGCATCGTCAAGGGTAAGACGGCCATGGAGTGACAGGACGCCGGCAGCCGTGGATAAAAGATGGGAAATGAAAGATTTCCCCTGGGGGATGATGCGGATGGCATAATTTAGGTGGCCGAGAAGAGACAACAGCTGATGTTTGGTGCAGGAATCTATGAGCATTAAGTTAGAGAGGATCAGGGTGATGCGATGCACCTTCTCGGGAGGTAGGGAAGCCTGAAAGGAGGCGGAGTCTAGGGTGATGCCTAAAAACTCCAATGAAGCAAGAGGACCGATTGTCTTTTCTTTGGAAAGAGGAATGCCTAGATCTGAAAAGGCATGGGTGAGAGCGCAGAGCCCTGAGCAAGGTGAAGAGGAGGGAGGGGTGATGATAAGAAAGTCATCCAGAAGTTAGAGAATATAAGGGAGCCTGAAATTATTAAGAAAGATCCAGCAAAGAGCTTTGGACAGTGAATCAAAAATCTTGGGGCTACTTCGGCAGCCGAAGGTGAGCCGAACTGCAAAGTAGTAAGTGCCCTTCCAATACACACCAAAAAAGCGCCAGAAGTCTGGGTGAATGGGCAAGACCTTGAAAGCGCTAGTAATGTCCGTCTTTGAGAGCCAGGCTCCCCTGCCCGCCAGACGAATGAGGCAGATGGCGTGGTCGACGGTAGCGTATTGCATGGAAAAGTCTGAGAAAGGGACGAGACTATTAATGCTTGTGTGGCAGGATGAATTGCACCTGCTGGCAGGGTAATTGTGGTGTTGTGGCAGCCAATGACACTAGAGGGTGCTCCCTATAAAAAGCACAGGTAAACTGCAGGTTTAGATTAGATTGGTTGGCTGAGACACATCACCATGGGGTCCAGTGTTGTGCCTGCTGGGTGCCAAGTGCAGATACTGTAACTGTCGGCATGTTTGCCCTCACCACTGACTGTGAGTGTAGTGGCTGCTGTGGCCAGAGTTTGTGCCCTTACGTGATC